AAGTTGGTGTCTGTTGGAAAGTGAAGGCTGAGACTTCCTATTCTGACATCTTGTTGAGATGACTGACTGCCTCATCTCTTTCTCATAATGTGATATTTCAGTTTTATCCACAACAGCATCAATTATTGAACACATCCCAATTTGGGGTATGTTAAGAATGGGGGAAAATGACCAATGGCAATAGTAGGACACCATATACAGTAAGATGTGCCACAGTCTTATTATGACAGAAACTCTAAGTATTAGTTAGGGTGCTGTAAAAAAAGGGACCCGACAAAGCAGTGGGTTGGAATACAAAGAAGTGTATTTCTTTCACTGACAGTTGTGAGGTGTGCATCCAGATAAGAAGGGTAGTGTTGCTACATGTGAGATTCAAGAACCCAGTGCTTTCATCCTGTTGCTCTGCTGTCCACTAGGATGCACTATCTGTGACATACTTATACTAATCATGATTCATGTATCTGAGATTCAGATTTAACTCGGTCTCCTGTGTTTCATCTGGCAAGTCTACAGTAGGACATTGTATAGTCTGCAACCATCAAAGCTGGTTTCCTGCAGATTACAGCTGGTGAAGGGGGAAAGAAAAGAGGTGACAGGACACCAGCTGTCCTGAGGTCTAGGCCCAGAAGTGTCACATACCACATTTGCTCACTTTCTACTGGCAAGAACTGAAATCATATGATTATGCCTAACTGCAAAGGAAACTGGGAAATGTTGGTTAGTTAAGTGCCCCACCCCCTCCAAATAATGGGTGAACAGATTTTAGAAGACAACAAGCAGTCTTTACCCTAAGAACCCCGTGGACTGATATTCTCCTTTTCACATTTTTGTGGTTTTGCTCTACATCTTAGGGGGTTTTCTTGATTTTATCTTCCAATTGCTTTCTTGAATATCTTATTTTAGCTATCACTATGTTTAATTTCCAAAAGCAAGTTATTTTCCAACTGTTCCTTTCCACTAGCAACCTTTCTTGTTTTATGGAGGTAGTATCTCCTCAGATCTAAGGATATAATTAGAATTTTTAAAGATTCTTCTGTGCCATTACAACGTTCTGTTTTCTAGAGTCACTTATTCTGTTTATCTTCCTTTTCTCTC